TATATATAAATTCCGAAAACAGTACCACTTCCTCGTTAGTATAGTGGACAGTATCTCCGCCTGTCACGCGGAAGACCGGGGTTCGATTCCCCGACGGGGAGGATTAACTATATTGTTATTTTACTGTACAGTACCTTTAATGATTTTGTTCAAATCAATGTTTCTCAAATATTATTAATTGCTGAATGTGTAAATGTATTGGACTGATACCAGCCTTTTTTCAGGGCATCGAAAAACTCAAACCCTTCCATCTGTGAACTTTTCAGCTCATTCCAATTCATTTTTTTTAATCTCAAAATAAACTATGCAAATTTTGGGAGGTTGACTCCAACTCAAACCAAATACTTCCAAAAAATGACAAGTCTTACGTATTAAAAAGCAGCAAAAGCCATTTTCTTTTAATGTTACTTTACTGTCACAACTAATAATAATAATAATAAGAGGAAGAAGAAGAAGAAGAAGAAGAAGAAGACAAACTACAAAAATAAGAACGAAAATATGTTGGGTTATGGTCAACATTTTGCATTCCGTATCTAGTCTTAATAAAAACACTCACTTCAGTCGAAGACAAACTACAAAAATAAGAACGAAAATATGTTAGGTTATGGTCAACAGCTTTTTGCATTCCGTATCTAGTCTTAATAAAAACACTTACTTCAGTTGTTTAAATAGTTCACTCCTCGTTAGTATAGTGGACAGTATCTCCGCCTGTCACGCGGAAGACCGGGGTTCGATTCCCCGACGGGGAGGACTAAGGTCGGTCCCTAAAAGGTCAAGCATTGGTTCGGGTTCGGGTTCGGGTCGGGTCGGGCTTCTCTCTCACTTTTTTTTTTTTTAATAAATATTTTAAAATAAATACTGTAGCGGACACTAGGACCATGCTTCTCACCCAGCCAGCAGGCATACATAGGGGGCGTGTTTATGTGAATGTCCACCAAAAATACTCACAAATAAAATATGAAATGTCGGGTTTGCTTCGGGCTCGGGCCTGCAAATCAAGCGAAGTGATCGGGCTCGGGCCGGGTCGGGCTTTAATACCCTCGGGCCCGGTCGGGTCGGGCTCGATTTTTTAGGACAGATCTTATCTCTAGTAGGGTGGCACAGTGGACAACTGGTTAGCCTCGTGCTAACCAGCTAATACCTCGTCGGCTTCACAGTGCAGAGGTGCTGGGTTCGATTCCAGCCGTCCTGTGTGGAGTTTGCATGTTCTCACCATACCTTCGTGGGTTTTCTCATGGTACTCTGGTTTCCTTCCACATTCCAAAAACATGCGTGGCAGGTTGATTGGGCACTCCAAATTGTCCCGAAGTGTGATTGTGGGCGTGAATGATTGTTTGTCTGTGTGTGCCCTGCAATTGGCTGGCAGCCAGTTCAGAAAAAATGGCATAGAAATTGTCACCAAAAATGTCGTGTATACAACTAATCAATGTCACAGTAAACTGCATCGATCTTGCAAAGGTGCCCCCGACAAGCAAAATCTGTGTCACATTAATAAATTGTTCTGTTCTGTCCTCCCTGTTCTGACCAGTAGAGAGCAATGTCTGCCGCTGCACTGCACCTTTGTGGAACTCACGCCCGACAAAATGTCTAAGTGAAAGGACTGCTCCGGTTGGTTAGATAAGGTCGCCGAATTGATCATTACACAATATTTTATATCATTCGCATTCCAAAAGTCGATTTGCGTTATATTCCGCCTCATTAATCGGCCCGCCGATTTATCTGGTGTGCTTTGGTGTCCGGTACAGACAAACACAATGGCTGCTTTGATTGTGTAACGTTCAAAACGTTCGCAAGGCAACATATTTTCAAAGCGTGTCCAATTTTATACAATACGTCCTGATTTATATAGCGCTTTCACAACAGCTGCAGCTGTAACAAAGCGCTGAACAAAACAGTTAACATAAAGTAAAATAATAAACACAAAACATAACATAAAACACGGGCAGTCGTGCAATCCTAACAATTTTCATCTCAAACTGCTTTAAACAACAAAGCGTATGACGGTAAAGATGATTATTTTACCTTTTTATTACAAGCACCGTGCAAGTCAAAGGAAACTAATTTTGAGGCGAGATGAAAATGTAAGTAAAGAGGCTAAATCAGTACTTGTACTTTTACCATACTTTGTTATACAATTTTTAAATGACTACTTAATTAAGTAGGCTACACAGTATGTGTGCTTTTTTTCTCGTTTGCACAACACATCACAAGTGCTGTTCGGAAAAGAACCAGAAAGCACAAAGGCGCTGACTTGTTTTATTCACGTTCTTAAATTATTACTTACTTATTTGTGAATGAACGTCAGGTCGAAGCAATAATTCTTCGACGTCCATTCCACAGTTATGAAACTTGACTAAGGCAAGGTTTTGTAACTCAGCCGCGCCGGCCAACCACAAGCTAGTTTGTGCTCACGTGACGTGAGTTTTTATGTAACCAAACGTTGGTCCACGGGGAAAGTCAGTGGACTACCCACTAAAGGAGAGATGAATAGTCGAGTTAACAGAAGAAACGCCAGTTACTCCTAACGTTGTATTTTTCTAAATTAACATGTCGCTCCAGAAGCCAGCTGAGGAAGCGACTGGGCAGAGGAGCGCTTTCTTCATAGGCACCAAACAGGACGACGTCCCTGAGCAGGAAAAGGAGGACCACCAGCAGCTCATCCTGCTAAAAGCCAACGCTTTAGCCTCGGAGAACTCCCTTAAAGAGGCCATTTACTGGTTCTCGGTGGCCTTGCGCTACGGGCCCATCAGACCCGAACAGCTAAGCACTTTTGTGGACTGTATAGTGCGGAACCAAAGAGAAAATGCATCCTGCGGCTCGGACTCGTCGTCGAAGCGGGACTCGGAGGAGCAGGGTAGCCACTGGGATAAAGTGTTCGACTGCCCCAATTGCCATAGCTTTTTAGGGGAACCAGTAACGTTAGCGTGTGGACACTCATTCTGCAAGAGGTGTTTGCAGCGAGGGCTGTTCTCCAGGTGCAAGTTGTGCCACGAAGCAGTGACACTCGAAGGAAAGCCCAACGTGATTTTGTGCGGACTTTTAGCCAAATGGTTACCCGTCGAGGTAAAACGCTCCAAAAGACTCAGCGAAGTGGACGAACTGTATCGGCGCAAACGCTGCCTTGAAGCCATTCGCCAAGCGAGCGACCTGATCCAAGAAGGTGAGTTGTACACACAACGACCGAGAGTCATGTTGACAGCGGATGTGTTTGTGCGTTTCCTGGTATTGAGCATGAGCATGAACATGGCTTGAGCGGGTTGGCCCGTTGCAGGGATACGCGAGCGCCTCCGCCATTTTGAATGTGGCAGATGTGCCCCTTTAACTACTGCAAGTCAATTGACTCAACTTAATAAACTGATTATCAGTAAAATTACACAACATTAATACATATCATTACCTCACACACAATAGCAAACGCGAACATCGCGAAGGCGTCACTTAAGCTAAAATTCGTTTCTTCGCCAATGTTGTATAAAGGAAGGAAGTACAAGACATCGTGTGGAGTACTGTACTTTATTTTCTTCTGTGCGTTTCTATAGCGACGCGATCTACTACCAGTGCCGAGCTGCTGGTCCAAGCTTACGAAATGTTCACTCGCAGCGCATGCGCTTCGGGGTCAGCTTGTATAAGTTAGGTCGTGACACAATTGCAGGTTTTGTAACTTGCAGTGGGGTGGGCTTACTTGTTATATGTGCTGCAATGCAGCCAATAGCTTTTTGTCATAGAAAATGGTCATAGGCATCAGTTGTGACTCAAGATGAGTCCTCGCGCAGCAGTCTGAAAGGAGCAGGTATACTGTTTGAGGGAATGCACTTGGACATACTGTAGTTGACTAATGTTCAGGGCAAAGAAAGTCACTGAATACCATTGTTGTTGCAAGGTTATTAGATCATCACTATATGACATTATGCAAATAGTCCTTCTTGAATGTTCACATCATTGCAGAAACAATTGTAATCATTTCCATCTGTAAAATGACACCCGCCCCCCTCCCCAAATAAATGACCTTGTGCATGCATTTGTTCCTAAAACATGCATGCATACCCAAGTTTGGGCAAAAGGTAGACGGTACCCTTGACTGTTTGCCAGTCAATCCCAAGGTACAGTACATGTCAAGAAAGATCACTCAAGTTCACAACTCAAATTTTACATCTTTATGTTTGAAGCCTGAAATGTGGCAAAAGGTAAACTTCATGTTCTGTTTCACTTCACGTCGGAATATTAAGAGAATATCTTGTTCTGATATCTTTTTTTTTTTTTTTTTTTTTTTACATTTTGGCATCAATAAAGATGAATTGGTTATGAACTAAAATCAAATGTAAAAATCACTTGTTTATTTGCATTTACCTTTATTTAGTCCATTTGAATATCATATCAATATATTGTATCGATTGTATCACTGTTATTGAATTGAATAATTCAAAAAAGCTCAGAATCTCTTTGTGTGGAATCATTAGGCCTTATATCAATGTGTATTGTATCAGTCATAAAACGTATCATTACACCCCAAGTGTACATGTATCTGGTAGGGCAGGGGTCGGCAACCCAAAATGTTGAAAGAGCCATATAGGACAAAAAAACCCCAAAAAACAAATATGTCCGGAGCCGCAAAAAAATAAAAGCTTTCTATAAAACTTACAATGAAGGAAACACATGCTGTATGTATGTAGGAGACTGGACTGCCTCAGAATTGTTTGTCATTCATTCCTTTGTTGTGTGTTCACAAACACCCCCATAGAATTTATTTTGTGATTTCCTCCCTTGATTTTTTGTTTTGGTGCATTATTTTCGCTTTTCTTAGTGTCAGTGAAGTGATCATGAATTTCTGTTCTTCAGAGGTTGTCTTTGAACGCCTCTTGAGTTGAACGAGAAGAGAGAAGGCATGGAGTCTGACGCAGACGTGTCTGTGTTTGTCGAGACTGTTAAAACCATAAATAAAGTGTACGTTTTAAAAAACCAACTCCACAGCTTTCCTTTTTCGGAGCTGCAACATGTATCTATAGCCCTGTTCACACGGCAAGATTTACTCCGACGCTGCACCGAAGTATTTTGATGCGATGTATTTTACACCGGAGCAAATTTTGTGGAGCGTTCACACGTGCAAAGCCGCTGAGCTGACAACTCCGGCGCAGCGTCGAAGCAGCTCCACTTGCGGTCACACGTGCAATTTCTGCTCCGGACCAAAACGACAGGAATGCGGAAGTAAAACAGGTTCGGGTCGGGCTTCTCTCTCGCGGACTTTTATTTATTTTTCTTTTAATAAATATTATGGTGGACACTATTCTGTCCTTGTTCAGAATAGATCCACTTGTCGGCAGTC